AATGAAGCCGCGATCATTTAAATCGCGGCTTCATTTGACTTTGCCAAAACAACAAATCTACATGGCTCCGTCGACGGAGCCATGTAGTTTAGACGTACCCTCTAATACGTATCACTAAAGCAAAATTACAGTCAACATGGAAGGGAAAGAATATATGAGTTCTCACTAGTATACCAGAGCTCAAAAGCCGGTATAGTTTCCTTACTGTGGCTGCCTCGTATGTCGACAGAAGGCATCTGTCAATGTAGGAACACCATGGGTGGTGCATAATTGAGGCTAGGGGAAGCTAAACCTCATGCCAGGGGGAGGGGATGGGTGGCATGAGGTTTAGCTTCCCCCAGCCTCCATTATGCACCACCCATGGTGTTCCTTTTACAGGACAATCAACACTTACTTTGCTCCAGATTGTGGGGCTCCAGGGTGGGGAGTATGGGGGCAGATTAGCATGGAGCCATGGGCAAGGCCATGGATGGAAGGTCTGGAACAGGTGAAGGCTCTAGACTCGGAGCTCCAGCCAGGGCCATGAGCTCTTCTGTGACTTGGACCAAATTCTCAGCAGTGCCCTCTCCCGCGTCAAGTGGGGGGAGCTAAGAGCAGCAAGCAGGGGCTGGACCTCAACCACTGGAGGCAGGTCACGGGTTAGCCTCCTCCAAGGGAAAGGTTCACCTGCCAAATATGTCTGTTAGCTATGCTGACAGAACAGCACTTCTTCTGTTGGCCAGACATTTTGACATTATACACTAGACATTTTGTCAGCACAGCTATGTTGATCAGGGAGCATGGTTTTTTACACCACCCCTGACCAACATAATTATGTAAGTTTTAGTGTAGATCAAGCCTGAGACGGTGAGAGTCTTCAGGAAGTGAAAGAAAGTTCTTGTACAGGATATAGTTTTAAGCTGCCCCCAAGTTCTTATTTACACACGGAAACTGACCAGCAGGGGTAAGCAAGATGCATCAGGGGTGGGCAAGATGCAGCCCACGGACTGAATCCAACCCGCCAAACTGCCAGTTCCAGCCCGTGGCCACCTTGCCAATTTTAAACGGCTGACTGCTCCCTGCTCCTGATGATGGGGAAGGAGGGGGAGGCTATGCACACTGTCCCTGCCCCCAGAAAAATTTCTCAGCTCTTATTGGCTGGACTCCCCCTCCGCCCCTGTACAGAGCAGAGGCACATGGAGCAACCAGTCTTTCTCACCAGCCTGGGACTGCTGCAGACAAGCAGAGAGCCTGCCTCAGGTTCCTGCAGGGCTGCTGTCTGGGAGATGCCTACATCCCACCCCACTCAACTACCTGCCACAGGCCACCAACCCTTCCAGCCCCAGGTCACCAACCAGACCGTGTATCCCTTCCCCTTACCTCCTCCAGGTCACAACTCCCTCCCAAGACCCTGCACCCTGTAACATCCCTCCCCCAAGCCAGAATCTTCTCCTGCACCATACCTCCTCCCGGATCCTCTATCCCAAGCCCCTGGCATAGATCACAACACCCTCCTTCACCAAAACACTCTCTCAGACTCCACAATCTTTCCTGCACCACAGTCCCATACCCAAAGCTCCCTTCTGCACCCAACCTCTGTCCCAGACCCTGCACTCTCTCCACAGAAGTGTGACCCTTGACCACTCACCAAAATCTTGGTGTGTCCACCCATTAAAAATTATTGTCCACACATGTCTTGCATAGTAAAATACATTACAATAACTATTTTCTTCCTGATTTGTATTAACGTATTCAGTATTCAAATTCAAAACGTTTCTCTAACGTGCTACAAAAATGCTTCTGATCACTTGCAAGAGTGGGTAAGCAATAAAACAAGACATTAACTTCTTATGCTCAGCTAACTGTATTAAAAAAAAGGAAACTCCTTATGAATAATTAACCAGCACTTACAGTTTGAGACTCACTCCTTCTGTTAGAAACTTTGGCAACATTGAGTCCATCTATCACAATATCATATGGAGGATGATTTTCCACAAAGTTTCGAAATTCTTCAAGTTCCTAGGAGGAGGAGAAAAGGGACTGAATAAGTAGAGGTTTGAGGTTTTTTTTTTTTTTTTAAAGCAAAACAGACACAAAACCTCCTAAATCTCTCACTTCATTATCTTCTGCTGCCTTTAATATCATTCATGAAATATTTGCTGCAACAGCTTCAAAGGATGGTAATGTTGCACTAGATGCTTTCCATTACATTTTTTTCTTTTCTTACAAGAATAAATTCCACATTTTCTACCCCTTTTAACCTCACCGTATGAGCTCAACATTTTTTACAAAAATCAAAATGTGACAGATACTTCAAAGCTGGGTGCAACTTTTAAAAATCTCATTTAAAAAAGAAAATAAATGACTGGGTGTCAAGATACGTGGGTTCCATTCCCAGCTGTGCCATTGATCAGTTTGTGGTCATGGGCAAGATATGTTGCCCCTGCGCCCTTCGGTTCCCCATCCGCAAAATGGGATAATGCTATTTGCATTTTTAGTAAACAGCTTTGAGATTTCTGAATGCAAAGCACTAAATAAGAGATGATACATTTGCTTACTACTCTGGCTGTAAGATGTACAAAAGCTTTTAAAGCAGGTAAAATAGGGAACTTTTCTATGTCAGAAATGTCACCCAATGGCTGATCAAAGAGCATTTCGCCAACTCTCCCTGCCAAAGAGAAATCATAGGTGCATTAGACCCGTCTAGAATAGCTCAGTGTAAGTTCAGATGATCATCTTTCATCAACAGAAGTTGCTCCAATAAAAGATATTACCTCACCCATTTTGTCTCTCACTAGTATGCTGTGGGATCAACATAGCTACTACACTACGTATTGGTATGCGTAGCATTTAACAGAGGAGGAATTGTATCATGAATAACAACAGATGAGCCTTCAGACACCTCTCCCCTCATTTTTAACAGCCATGCAACATGATAGACTAGGGGAGGCTTTGTACTAAACAGGGTTGTTTGAAATTATGGGAATGGCATAGTGTTGTCTTTGTGGAATGCTCTGGAGTTTTACCAGGCTCACGCACAAGCTCATGCAGCATCTGCAAGTAACATGGTCTATCATCCTAGGTATAACTCCATTCCATCATGGTGGATAATGACTTGACTTTGGATTTACATGCCTTCAACATCTCCTGTCTGGACTACAACAATGCCTGTGCATGAAGCCATCAGTCCTTCAGAAACTCCAACAAGTACAGAATGCTGCAGTGCATCTCTCAGCATGGGCTCCTTCGAGCACATCACATCTTTCTTCCACGGGCTTGGAAGCTGACAGTGTTCCTTTCACCAACAAATGCAGTGTGCTCGATTCTACTTTCTTTTTTGGCTGACATGGAGAAAGAAAGACTCAGTTGAAGTCAGTGGATTTACACATATTTTAGCCCCGTTTTTGAGTTAATGTTTTATGGCAAACTTTTGTAATGTAATCACTAAACAAATCTTCAGCAGACAGAGGCTTCTATGGGTCTTCATTTCCTGGAAGGTCAGGCACGGTCCTGAAATATATTCGAAGTTAGGGTATGTCTACATAGCAACATTATTTTGAAATAACTTAGTCTGTGTCTACACAGCTGGAAGTTATTTCAAAATAATATCGAAATACTGTCAAGATGGAGGATTTATTCCTTGTACAATGAGGGTTACAGGCGTCCGAGTAAGAAGGGAAGTCAGAGGAAGAGTGCTCTATTTCGAAAAAGCGCTGTGTAGACACTCTCAATTTTGAAATAAGCTATACAATTGACGTAGATCAATTTGTAGACACATCCTTAGTCACCAATACACTGAATATACAGAAATCATCAGAGTACATTTTAAACCTTCAGAAGAGAAGGCTATTTACTCCAATTACTTGACAACAAATATACACAGGAATCCCTTTGATTATGTAACAAGAAAATATGTACTGCAAGTTCTTGAAGTTTAAGGCGTGTCTCTGAGATGAACCCAATCAACTCATCTGTCATCAGTCTTCTCTAATTACCTATTACATATTTCCATCACAAAAAGCAGAACTAGCCACAAAAGTATTCTTTGTTTCTTAGAAAACTGCTATATGACCCGTTACTATGTACATACCTATGCAATTATTCACATCTATTATTCTGCATAGTTTTTCCTGTAGCACACCCAAGAAATCAATAACGTCACATTTTAATGGTATTAATAGATCTTTTTGGGAGAAGTTATTTGGACATTTTATACGGCTCCAATCCTTCCACTGAAGCCAAATAGAATTTTGTGGCTTAACTCTATATTTAAAAATGAAATCCCAGAGGGTATGTCTATATTACGGGATAAGGGCGAATTAAGATCCGCAACTTCGGCTACATTAATTGCATTGCTGAAGTCGAAGTACCTTAACTCGACTTTTGGCACTGTCCACACTGCAGGAAGTCGAAGGGAGTACACTCTCCCTTCAACTTCCCTTACTCCTCGTGGAAGCAGGACTACCAGCATCGACGAGAATGCCCCTTTCAGTTCCAATTAGTGTGTCTTCAGTAGGAATGTGAAGGACTAGTCGACTATCCAATAGCTAGTAGACTAGTCACTTCCTCCCCCCCTTGCTGCCTCTATCAGAAAGAGGCAGCAGGGGGAGAGGGGGAAGGCAGAAAGGTGAGAGAAGGGGGTACTTCAAAGCAGCAGCGCCGCTTGGAACCTGGGACCAGACCCCAGGCTCCACATCGCGCTGCCGCTTTGAAACGCACACTTTGAAATGGCCAGCTGGGGAGTCCCAAGGCTGCACATGGCATTTCAAAGCATCAGCACTACTTAGAGCCCGGAGTCAGCTGGGGACTCTCCTGCTGACCCTGGGCTCCATGCGGTGCTGCTGCTTTGAAATGCCATGAGGAGCTTGACGGTGGGCTCCCCATGGCATTTCAATGTGGCAGAGCTGCTTGGAGCCCAGGATCAACAGAGGAGTCCCCAGCTGTCCCTGGGGTCCATGTGGCGCTGTCGCCTTTGAAATGTAGCAATAGCCCTAGGGTTGCATCGACTATTCAATGAGTCAATTACTTGCAATTTAACATCCCTAGTCTTCACTAGACCCATTAATTCTAACCCTAGAAGATCGACGACAGCAGCAGCTTCGATCTTCTCTGTAGTGTAGACATACCCAGAGAGAACAGCTAAATACACATATTTTATTGAAGACACCTGGGCTCCCTTCTCAAATTTTCCTTGACACAGTAATGCAGCTATTATCTGAATAAGGCATTTGAATTGAAAGATTCATCATCCTTACACAGTGATCACTAACTAAACCATTTGGATTCAGAGGTGGTGAAGGCCAATGCAAGGATATTGGGTTCCATGTTGATAACAATTAACAAGATTTTCCTGTGGGAAGAGGAAATGTCAGTTTTCCTGACGATGCTGCAAGACCCCTGCTTGAAAAATTAATTCCCGATGTTAACAATTTTAACCACATTTCCAATCTTCCTTTTTTGGGAAAGGTCGCTGAGCAGGTTGCATCTAGATAACTGTGAGTGTTTTGGGAATCCTTACATATGCATGAACTCTATCAGATATAGGCTTACATATGAGACAAAAATTGAGCTGGTGGCACTGATGATTTCCTCCTAGAAACTGACAGTGAAAAAGTGTTCCTGTTGATTCTTTTACATCTATTAGCAGACTTTACACTATGGATCAGAAGCCCTTATTGAAATGTATGGAACTGTGCAAAGGGCTTCTGTGTCCTAAAATCTTCTCCCTAAGAATGTCATTGGAGGGCTGAATATTAGAGAAACATGGACTGCTCCATTTGCTGATGATATCCGTCTCTTTGTTTCTACAGGTCTGATCCAGATGGTGCAATGAAACAAATGACCTACTGACTACACAAACTTGGTTAGTTTCCATGACTCATGTTGAATAAGACTAATCTGATGTTGATGGGTTAGGGGAAGCAGTCAGAAGGGCTAGTGAAGTGCTATTATCAGAGGGTATGTCTACACTACCCCGCTAGTTCGAACTAGCGGGGTAGTGTAGACATACCCTCTGATAATAGCACTTCACTAGCCCTTCTGACTGCTTCCCCTAACCCATCAACATCAGATTAGTCTTATTCAACATGAGTCATGGAAACTAACCAAGTTTGTGTAGTCAGTAGGTCATTTGTTTCATTGCACCATCTGGATCAGACCTGTAGAAACAAAGAGACGGATATCATCAGCAAATGGAGCAGTCCATGTTTCTCTAATATTCAGCCCTCCAATGACATTCTTAGGGAGAAGATTTTAGGACACAGAAGCCCTTTGCACAGTTCCATACCGGCACAGGGTTCGAACAAGCCGGCTTTTAAAAATGGCGGAGCCGGCTTTATGCTAATGAAGCCCAGGAAATTCACATCCCGGGCTTCATTAGCAAGTTCGGTATGCATACATTACCCCGCTAGTTTGAACTAGCGGGGTAGTGTAGACATACCCAGAGGTAGTTTGAACACTGGTGTATAAACTAGATATTTTATTACAACCTGGGCTGCTCCTGGACACCAAAGCACTTTTTTCTATCTGCAACTAGTCAAAGAAGTACAGCTTTTACACTGCAATCTCGACTCTGCTATTGCCATAATTAATCTGATCAGACACTGACTAAAGATAATTTTCTTCACACTTTGAAGTAATCCCAAATGCTTACTGGATAGTCAACACAGTCATCAACTAGTCGTTTCCCCCCTCCCGTTGCTGTCTCTATCAGAAAGAGGCAGCAAGGGGAGGGAGGGGGCACGAAGGGGGTGTTTCAAAGTGGCAGTGCCACATGCAGCCCGGGGCCAGCTGGGGAGTCCCCAGGCTGCAGGCAGTGTTTCAAAGCAGCAGAGCCACATGGAGCTCAGGATCAGCTGGTGACTTACCTGCTGACTTTGGGCTCCACAGGGCGCTGTTGCTTTGAAATGCTGCAATGAGCCTGACGCCGGGCTCTGCGTGTCGTTTCAAAGTGGCAGCACCACACGGAGCCCGGGGTCAGTGGAGGAGACCCCAGCTGACCCCAGGCTCCACGCGGCACT